CAGCAGCTCCTGGGGGCACTCTCAGGAGAGCCTGCACCGAGAAACGCAGCGTTAAACAAAAGATCAAAGTTCTTACTTTTTTGTGCCTTCAAGAAAGTTTACTCCGTGTTCTAATCCACAAGCTGCTCCTGAATCTTCACGGAACTTTGCACTCAGCCTTGTCCAACACGGATTTCTTTCAGGTCGCTACGCAGTGAGAGCCATGAAGCAAATGGAGCCACAAGTAAAACAAGCACTGCAGAATCTACCAAAATCTGTAAGTTTTTGTTTCAGCTGTAGCATCCTTTTATTCAGAAGTTTGCTCGGTGGAATAACCACAGGCTGTTGCCTCTGTGTAGCATTGCTGTATTTGCTTCTACTACTAAGAAGAATTTTGTCAGTAAGAGCAATTAATAGCAGCAGTTCTGGTGGTGGTTGGCTAAGAGAGAACTTGTTAAGTGCTCATTTAAATAATGATACTCAGCTTCACCTGAATTTCTTCCTACAGCTGCAGAAGCAGCCTCAGCACTCTGATGAACTAAAAGCTCAGCAGCTGCTAAAGCAATAATGGGTTGTTTTAACTGATAAACTTACAAATGAGCCTTTTTTTTAACTAACTTGTTGTCTCTTTCAGGCCTTCAGTGGTTACTACAGAGGTGGATTTGAGCCCAAAATGACTAAACGAGAAGCAGCTTTAATACTAGGAGTGAGGTAAAAGGGAATCTGTGACGCGGGGAAGGTAAAAGGGAGGTTACAGCGTTACCTGGTTTGAGAAGGAGACGATTCTCGGTGCTTGAGGCTCTCCTGTGCCCCCAGTCCCTTGGGAATGTCACTGTCAGCCTTCCAGCACTTTCTGTACTTGTTTGGGATGTTTTGCTGCACACTAAACTCTGGCTGGAATTTTTACATCTGCAAAGCCCTGGCAGGTTCCAAAGTCAAGTCCAGGTCCTGGTGAATTTGCTGTTTTCAGGGAGCCTGGGGGTGACTGGGTGCGGGGAGCGGGGCTGAGTTGGTTGCTCTTAAATAAATGAAGAGCAAATTGTACTTTATCCTTTTCCTCCAGCCGTTAGGAAGCTGTGTGACAACTGTTTGGTTTCACTGTGTGAGTGCTGTGGGGCTTGGGGAAACCTTACAGACCTTCTCCGGGACTTAGATGCTACACATCAGTAACAGGAAAAGAAAAACACCCAAGAGCCCAAGAGTGCAGGGACAGACACTTAAGGCACCCCTGAAAGATCTGGGGGACTTTAAAAGGTTCCCTAAAGTCAGTTTTTCTCTCTCTCTTTCAAAGCCCTACAGCCAACAGGAGTAAAATTAGAGAAGCTCACAGACGCATCATGCTTCTGAACCATCCAGATAAAGGTAAGTGAATGAAGTCACACTGATTAATCAAATACCCATTTTTAACACAGATTAAGAGCACTGTGCCCGGAAGAAGTGACTGACGTATGACTACTTCGGCTCCTAAAAAAAAAACCCCAGAAAACTGAAAACAAGTTTTAGGGTGCCTTAATCCTTTTGGAAGAGAGGATGTGGTTTGTTTGTGAACACCTTTCAGCCCCAGCTCGTGTGGGTTCCTGGGCTGCTCTGGCTTTGCCAGCAACGGCACAGAAAGGAACTATTTTTTCACTGAAAGGGTTCTCAGGCATTGGAATGGGCTGCCCAGGGAGGTGGTTGAGGCACCATCCCTGGAGGTGTTCAAAAGACGGGTTGATGTAGTGCTGGGAGGTCTGGTTTAGTGATGGTGATGCTTCTTGTTTGTTGTGTGGGTGTCTATTTTTGTCAGTTAGGTTGACGGTTGGACAAGATGATCTTTGAGGTCCCTTCCAACCTAGAAGATTCTGTGATTCTGTGATCTGCCTCACCTGATGTCACACGAGGTTCTCCTCTCTCTTCTAGGCGGTTCTCCCTACGTAGCGGCCAAAATCAACGAGGCTAAAGATTTGCTGGAAGACCAAGCTAAAAAATGAACGAGAAAATCAGAGGGTTTGTCCACACAAATGATTGTTTTTTTTTCATAAATGGCTTAAGAAAAGTTCTAATGTTGGTCTTTGACTAAATATAAATGAAGCTGGAACTGCGGATCCAGGGAGGTGCTTCCCTCCTCACGTCTTAGTTGCTTTTTGGGGAAATACGTGAGGGAATGAGGCTTTGAGTTTGTCGTGTGTTTTTTTTCTCCAAGCTGTTCTTCATTAAGCAGCAAAATCTGCCACTTCAAACTATTTCCAGTGCAGAAAGGGTGGATGTGGGAGATGCATGTTACCAGATACAGGTTGACTTAACGCTGTTACCTGACTTTTTGTTGAAGTAGCTGCGTTTGAAGCTTGTGCTGCTGTTCCTTCAGGTGCCAAAGCCATGAACGTGTCAGGGGAGGGGGTGGGAAAGGCAAAAAGGACTTATTTGAGGGGAAGAACTGGGGGGGGTTCTGTGGTTGTCTCTGACTGAAGAAATAAAGAATAGGAAACGAAGTGCTCAGTTGTCTTTGCCTTGTGAGAAACAAGGTTGGTAGCTTTCAATTTTCAATGGATTTTATAGCATTTAATAAATTCCAAATTTGTGATGCCAGTACTGTAGTTTTATACGTTCTCTGAACAGTAGGGAGTTAGAATTCACCTTGTGAGGTCTGCATTTATGGTGATGAGGAAGCAGGAGCCCCTTACCCAGGCTCCTGCCGACGCCTGTGCTGGATTTGTCGTGGTGTCTCTCACCTGAGTCCTGTCAGGCTCTCTGTGTGTTTACAGACTTAAACACAGCTTTCCCTCCCATTTTTAAGTTTTTCCCCACTCTTGTAGCTGCCCTGTCAGCTGAGGTGCTTGCACAGGCCTCAGTGTCCCTGTGGAGAGTCAGGGAGTGTCCACACTCGAGTCGCCTTCCATCTGCCCTTCTCCTCGGAGGAAGCTGATGGTGCTGGGGCCGATGGGGCAGCAGCTGGAGTCACAGCTGGGTCCTGGCCCTGCTTTTGTCCTTACTCACCTCTGAGCAGCCAGGTAGGGCAGATTTCTTTCTTTAAAGTCAGCTTCAGCACCAGCTGTGACTTCTTAGAGCATCTCCTCGCTCCCCACACCCGGCTCTTCTGCTCCTGAAAACACGTGTCAGTGGGTTACGCTTCACCTTCTCCATCAAGAACTACACTCCTCTCTAGGTCACTCAGATCAGGTGATTCTCTGAAAAAAGCAGCCTGGTTTAGACTCCTTAATTGATGTTCTACATCCTCACAGCTCCTGAGAAAACTCTGAGGGAGGAGCTAAAGGCTGGAGCTGCCTTGCAGGGAGCTTCAGTTCTTCCCACCAACAGCCTGGAAACCTTCGAGTCCAGAAGAATTTACATTTCTGATAGAAACAGTCAACAGATGGAAGATCAAAGTTTATTTTCTTTTACTACCAGCATACAAAAAAAACATATTGCACATCAAACAACCAAAACAAAAATAAAAATACTCTACTAAGGACTAACATATGTAGTTTATACAGAATAAACTTCTGGAAATTGATCTTTTTCAGTAGTTCAGGTTATGTCTTAATGGACATGACTAATTCAGCTTAGTGTTACCTAAAGCTATGTTTGATTTTTAAATACTGTACAGTTTAATAAATAAACCAAACAAAGCCTCAATGTAGAACAGTCACTGCCAATGTCACCCAGAATCCCTGCAGATTATGAGAATTTAACAAATGTATTCCAGTGGTCTGCAGATTTTTTTTTTCCTCTACATACAGCATTTAAAAAACATGTATTAAAACAGACCAGTTTCCAGACTAAACTAATGGAGAAATTACATTTCAGTGCAAAATATTTTAGACTGCATTTCTTTCTAGTATTCCTCAGGTGAAGAAGTGGTTGCATATTATTAAAAATGTAACAAAAGCAGCTAATGCTTTCATAAAGAGTATTATGTTAGGGATCCCCCTCACATCTTTGCCATATTTTGAAAACAAAATAACATTTCCTATAGCCAGCAATTTTGTTTTATTTAAATGTTACATATACTATCTCAAGGCACATCTGATGATATATTTATAACACAGTAGGTGTCAAAGTATGTTTAACATATGATTTCTTCAGGATCCCTCCCCTTTCTGTATTCCAAAATGGAGGAACTGAAAGTGCGGTGTCAAGACTGGCGATCCATATTCTATCTTTGGCAAGCTTATACAAGCACTATTTTAAATGTAATGTAAAAGAACTGTAAACTAGAACTTCAGTTTATGAAACACCGTTCAGCACCGCTTCTTCCTGGGTCTTTCCCTCCTCCTGAACGGTGACTTTCTTCTCCTCAGGACTGTGCTGTACTTTAGAAGGCTCATCCCCAGAAGTGGTGGCAGGACCATTCACTGCCTTTTCGGAAGGGCTGTTCTCATCGATCGCATCTTTTGCCTTGTGAAAACAAAACCAGGATCATGTAAGACATCTGTAACGCGTGACCCAGTTCCCTCCAGCTCCCACGGCAGCTTTCCAACAGGGAACACCTCTGGGTCTGTGGGGGCTACAGCCTCCTGTCACCCCAAGGAGACACATCACAGTAACCCCCACCAGCACAGCCCCCGCCCCACACCCAACATCATGGTTCTCAATTCTGGGGGTGCTACAGCCTCCTGTCACCCAGAGGAGACACATCACAGTAACCCCCACCAGCACAGCCCCCCCCCACACCCAACATCATGGTTCTCAATTCCCACTTTTTTAAGCCAAAGAAGTAGCTGCCAGAAGAGCTTTACACCCCTTTCGAATTAGATTGTTAATCATAAGCAATGGATTTTGCCTCATTTTGCTAAGCTCAGCTGTAACTTGTGGCAGTGAGTTCAATGTCACTGTAGAAAGAATTCTGCTTTATTTGGCTCTGAATATTTTGTTTTATGACAGGTAATGCCATCGATGCTTTAATGAGACCACATCTCAGATCTGCAGTCTCTGCACCAGCAGTTCTTTCTAAAGCAGCTTGTCTGAGTCACTAAATGTGCGACTTGGGATCCTCTATTAATGAACTATTTTAAGGATTAGTTCTCTAGACCCATCCATTTTTATGGAATGCCACCGTAGCAAGTGTAGTATTTTAAAATGCCTAAAGACTTCAGCTGAGCATTACACAGGTCACTGAACGCTGCAGTGACACTGAGTCAATGTCACTTCCATTCACTCTGGGCCAGTTTTGCTTTGAATTATTTATTCTTGAACTGAAACGCATTTGTGGTCAGGTAAGGGTGATCTGAACAAAGCACTGCTTTGCTGTTCTGCTGCAAGGGAAGAATAAAAAGGAAACATATTTAAAAAAAAAAATAAGTCATCTTACCGTTTCTTTCTTGGTTTTGGCTAATGTCTCCTTCGGAGGGTTTCTCTGTCTACTCTGAGATTCAGCTCGTGATATATAATCAGCTACGGTTACTGCGCAAGGGAAAAAACCAGAGTGACGCTCAGAAGGCACCAGGAACTTCCTACAGCTGCTCTGAACCAGTTGCACTAAACTGGGAGCCACCTCACCACAGGCCTTTACAGGTACCAGCTACACGGCAAGGACCAGCTGCTCTCTGCTGCTCAATACCATCTGCACTAAACTGGGTGGGAACTTGACAATCTGAAGGTGGAATCTTAAAGGGTAATAAAAGAGTAATTTTGGTCCAATTGTGGATGTTACTGGAAAATAAGGGTGTTGTGTACTGGGTTTGAAGAGATCAGACTGGAGGCTCACTGGGCAGTGAAGGATTTTGCACAAATAAAAAGAAGCAGGTTAAAACATGAGAAGAACTGGGAGGATGGGAGTGTGGGGTCACCATAAAGCGGGATTCAAATCTCTGTTACCTCATGGAGTGATTGGCAGGAGATTTTGCCTCCTCCTGGAACTGAAACTGCACCCCCTCGTTAATTGGCTCATGGCTGGCGGGTTAATTGCCATGTGTGCAGACCCCAGAGGGGCTCAGGAGCCACTGGTGCGGGCCCTTATTGGGTGCTGGATGGGAGGGTCCTGAGCTCTCCTTTTCCTACCCCCTCAGCACACGCTCTCGGGGCCCGGTCCTGCCTCATCCCACCCTCCAACCCGCACCAGGAGTCACTTCTACCCTTCAAACACACAGGGCTACACCTTTCAGTGCACATTCCTGTCTGTGATGAGCTACAGCACATTAGAGCTGGTGAGTGTTATCTGCTGAGCAGCACAGCTGTGGTCAGGGCATCGAGCATCCAGGTGAACCAGGACAGGGACCCTGACCAGGGATGGGACATATGGGGCAGGAACCTTCTCTTAGGGGAACTGGATTCCTACAACTGGCTCCAAGGGAGTTTCTGCACAAGAAGAATTATTGCTTGAAAAATGAGGTTTTGTGCCTGGCTCCTCCAATGGGAAGGTGAAGCAAGTTTTATGCACAAAGCTTAAGGCACCAATTCTTAATAACTAATAGTGATGTGAATCCACTAATACAAGGGACTGAAATACCTTGTGAGCATTGGGGGGGGGTAGTTCCTTCTGTCCCAATTTCACTCACTCTATCTTAGGGGAACTGGATTCCTACAACTGGCTCCAAGGGAGTTTCTGCACAAGAAGAATTATTGCTTGAAAAATGAGGTTTTGTGCCTGGCTCCTCCAATGGGAAGGTGAAGCAAGTTTTATGCACAAAGCTTAAGGCACCAATTCTTAATAACTAATAGTGATGTGAATCCACTAATACAAGGGACTGAAATACCTTGTGAGCATTGGGGTGGGAGGGGAGGCAGTTCCTTCTGTCCCAATTTCACTCACTCTACACTTACAATTATTTATGCAGAGATTAAATTGAGTGTTTTTCACAGACAGTCTAACCAACTACTCTTACTCTTGTATTTAAAAATATTTTATTATGCAAACTGAAACCGGGGTCTTCAACAAAGACATTAACGGAAAAAAACTGAGTTGGGAAATTTTTTGTTCTTGGAATACTTCGATTTAAAAGAAAAATATCATAGCTTTTGTAGAGATGACTAACACCTCCCTATGTCACTGGCTTAGAAGGAAGGTTCTTAGAAGGAAAAGCTGAAATCCATTTTTGCTTTTTCTGCCTCTCTAGAAACTCCCATCACTGTCACCAAACTGGGCTGCTGGGAAGCGACGGGTTACTTGGGGTTTGGGGTTTTTAGGGGCACAGGGCGCTTGGGTTTTTTCTCTTCCCCCAAGTTTTAATTAGTGTTAATGACACAATTTTTGCTGTTTAATCAAATGCTGTATGAGGATATGAGGAAGGCAAATATGGGTGAAATGTTGAGCCTGTCAGTCTGGAAGCCCCTGTCTTCCTGCCTGACCCCAGGTATGTATAAAACAAGGCGTTATATTAAAAAAAAATAAAAAAATCAGGTAGTTCACCTTAAACATCTCAAGTGTTAGTATGGGTTACTTGGGGTTTGGAGTTTTTAGGGGCACAGGGCTTTTGGGTTTTTTCTATTCCCCCAAGTTTTAATTAGTGTTAATGACACAATTTTTGCTGTTTAATCAAATGCTGTATGAGGATATGAGGAAGGCAAATATGGGTGAAATGTTGAGCCTGCCAATCTGGAAGCCCCTGTCTTCCTGCCTGACCCCAGGTATGTATAAAACAAGGCGTTAT